CAGGCAGTGCCAAAGCCAGTGCCCCTCCCACCCATAATCTAGACCCCTATGGGTTGGACTCTAGCTATGAATGTGCCTAGTTAGCAGCCTGGAGGCTGAACTGGTTTGGTGTGTTTACAGATCCTGGAGCCTGGGCGCAGAGAGCGGTTAGGACTCAAGATGGCCAATGAGGCAGCTGCTAAAAACCGAGCAAAGAAACAGGAAGCATTAAGAAGAGTCACGGAAAACTTGGCTAGGTGAGACTTCTCCATAGGAAATTGTCCCCTGCAACAGGGGAGAAAAGAAAGTTATTTCTTGTAAGAGATAATCCAGCATGCATAGAACAAAGGCATTTGGGTGAGGTGAGAGCAAGGAGCAAAAATGGATGTGCGATGCTGGGAAGAGATTTTATTTGTGAATAAGCTCTGCTCCCTGGACAAGGCTGTTAGCTGTTCTGCTTGCTTTTGCCCCTATTGGCAGTATGGTGGAGAGGGAAGAGTTTTGTGAACTCCCTGCCAGGCCAAACTGCCCCCATTATAGGAAGAGAAGTGCCCCCAACTGATCATAAATGGCAGAAGTTCCAGGGCTAGGTTATTTGGGGTGAGGACTTGATGGACACAAAGAAAAGGAAAGGGAGCATTGCTTCTATAGAGGGTTTGGACTGTGGGGGGGCTCCTGGCATTAATCAGCAAGAGAAACAGTGGGGCTGAGGTTTAATCACACAGCCATTGGCAGGAGGGATCAGGCATCGCTGCTGGAAGAACAGAATGGTCAAGTTGTGTCCTAAGCTGTACTCTTAGTGGTTCCAGTAATGCAGGAGTGGAAGGAGAAGGGAGCATGTGAGTCAGTTTGCGGAACCCAAGAGAGGTTCTGCGGTTATTCAGCACTCTGTATGCATTCTGATGTACAGCATCACTTTGATTTTAAAAAAGCCCTTTGTATTCTTTTAAACTACTCTGCTTCTGTTGCAGCCTCACTCCAAAAGGACTGAGTCCAGCTATGTCACCAGCCTTACAACGACTAGTAAACAGGACTGCGAGCAAATATACTGATAAAGCACTGCGAGCCAGTTATACCCCTTCTCCAGCACACCCCGGAACTCCTGGGTATAAGACCCCAGTAGGTGGGTCACAGACACCCACTAGCACCCCACCTCCTAGGACTGTTTCTCAGACTCCAGTAACCCAAGATCCCACTTCAATCACAGACAACCTGCTGCAGCTCCCTAAAAGACGAAAGGCATCTGATTTCTTCTAAATACCCCCTTTACCAGCAGGGGCTGCAACATTAGCTCTGCAGGGCTGTGTGTAAGCTGAGGGCAGTATACGCTTCCAGGAGAAAGGACATTTGCTTAAAGCTGCTAGAACATGGTCTAGCAGTTGCTGGATTTGGGACCATTTCTGCCCTTGAATAGTGCATAGTTCCCACATTTGACATGCCATTACTAGAACAAGAGTGGAGCAGCTTACAACTTGTATTTTGGAAGCAGAATATTTACTATTGTGGTATAATTTCTCTTAGTACCATGGAGGTGTGTGGCACAGAATCACTAGGGGACAAGGATGTTTCCAGAAATAACTTAAACTGCTTGGACTTTTGGAAAATAGGACGAAATGTTTGGGATATTTTTTGTAATTTTCCTTGGTTTTTTAAAAAGTGTGATCCTGCATTTGAGTGCCTCTTTCTGTACAGATGTGTCTATTTATAAAGTGTAGTCAGCCTTTGTACTAAGGCCTGAACCAAGGTGTGAAACTTTCTTGCTTCTAGCTTTGCTGTCCACTGAAATGTGCAGTTCTGCTGAGTAAGGAAGAGAGGTAGAATAAGTATCTGTATTCTTTCTTCTTCCCACCCTGATTCTGGATAGAAAAAAACATGGTCCGAAATGCCAAAAACCTTGACTTTAATTGGCACCTACTTCAATTATACTCTTTGGTGCCAAACAAGTCCTATGGGGAGCATTAATCCTTTGAGGACACGGGAGAAGCCTTCAGTGCACACATTTTCTCTTAGTCTGCCCTCCTCTGTTCAGAAATCTGGTGAGTATTTTTGCTCTGCAGTAAGCACAGTAATAGGTCTGTATGGGGTGCACATCTGAAATATCCAGCCAGCTGTGTTCCGAAAATGTAATAAGGAACATGGTAAATCCAGGCAGAAAAAAACAAGTCATCACTGTTTGAACTGAAACACACATGCCTTTGCCAATGTTGCTCTGACATTTACTAAGTGACTGCATTCAGTGTCACTGTCCCAGGTTGACCTCTATTGCTCTGACATTACCATTCAAATATAGGGGCTTTTTTCTTTTAAGAGGGGGAGAGAGGTCAGTTCAAAGTGGAAGGTCAGCAGCGTTTGTAGTTTCCTGTGCAAGAAATGCTGCTTGCTGCCTCTGATTACAAGGAATGCATCACTGTCTTTTTTTTGCTCTTAAATATAATCATTGTAAATAGCTCTGCCACCTTGACCATCTGATGTGAGTTAGGGAGACAGCAGCATAGATCTGTATGATCCTGAACTTCAGCAGCCAACCTCTCATTGACTTCATTGGCCAATGGCTCAGGACATGTTTGAATTGGAAAGATCATTTGGCTTTTCTAAGGCCAATCTCTCTTTTTAACGGCAGAATTTTCTTACAAGCTGGAATGTCTCTGAGCTCCTGACATTCACTTTAGTCAGTTGCATTTTCTGCCTCCCTCTGCTTGGCAGCAAAAAGTCAGCCTGACACCGGATAGCCACATTGGAAACAAGAGCTGAGCAGATGGAAACCACAGGAATTTGTTGTTCTTAAGGTTACAATTTGGGGTTTGAAACATCTAATGAATGGAAGCTCCTTCTGGTGAAGGGGTAGGTCATATGCTATTAATTTTGGAAAACGTGGCCTTTCACTTACTTACTAAATATTTCTGTTGAGCTGTTGTGGTCGTGAAAAGAGCTTGCCAAAAGCAAACAAAGTATCACCTTTCCCCCTCCACAGTTTGTTGTTCTTAAGGTTACAATTTGGGGTTTGAAACATCTAATGAATGGAAGCTCCTTCTGGTGAAGGGGTAGGTCATATGCTATTAATTTTGGAAAACGTGGCCTTTCACTTACTTACTAAATATTTCTGTTGAGCTGTTGTGGTCGTGAAAAGAGCTTGCCAAAAGCAAACAAAGTATCACCTTTCCCCCTCCACAGTCAGCTCAGTGTTGCTGCTGCTACCCCTGGCACTGCCCTGTAGCAGCAGAGTGACATTAAGAGTGAAGTCAATTTCACAGCTGCTGCTGTTCAAAATGCTCTGGTGACAGTGCTAGGGAAGACTCTTAGGGGCAGCAGGAGAGCTAGAGTGAGGGGCGGGAAAGAGACATAAAAAGTTGATCTTATCTCTCGTTTTCTCTGGCTCCTTCAGCAGCTTGGAGAAGGGATGTGGAGTAATGGAGATACACCTCCTCTGGATCCCCAGCAACTCCTCCCAGCTGCTAGAGGGCAGTGGTACTTCAGGGTGATTAGACACCTAGCACATGAAGGGGGAGACAATGGATAGAGCCTATAACAGTGCCCTTGAAGTGAAGCTCACAGTAACAGACAGCATCTTCCCACTATGCAGGCTCTGCAAAGGGGCTGGGGGATTGAGTCCTGGAACTCACTGCTATGCCCCTCTCCTAATCACTGTTGTAGCTGCTGATGGTTTGTGGCCTGGTCCTTCCCTCTTCCCCCAGCCCTGCTTCTAAATTAAAAACATTTAGCTCACTCATTTGTTGTAACCAATCATTTTGCTTTTTCCAAAAATGACAGGATTTTTAATAAT